GAATTCTGCCGGGTTTAGTACCTACCGTTCAAAAAAAGGGACAAGAAAAACCGTCCTCAATGCGATTTCGACGAAAGGGAAGTCTACGGAATTGTATGGGTCTTGTCATCTTTAAACGTAATCCGATCAATATCTGCCTTTAACAAATCTCTGGTAGAATACCTTACACAAAGGAAGTATTCGGTGAACATTGTAAATAAAAATGATAAAATAGTCGAATTAAGGAATGAGATTTCTGACCTCGAAGAACTCATTTTTAAACTAAAGAGATGGAAAATATAATTGTGTCCCCTGACTCTAAAAAAAATCTGGCTTTAACATCAGCAAAAGTAGAACAAACAGCTAACGACACAGAGCGTAGAAACACTTTAAAATGTAGGATTGCAGCCCAAACACCGAGAAAATGAAAATTTCTTAAAAATCTCTCAAACCATGAACCATCTGACAGCCAAGTCAGCGTTGTATCAAAGGGTCTCAAATTCATCCCAACGCCCGTGACAAACGAATGTAAAATCAGGCCAACTCTGCGAAATGTACTCGCAAGACGAATGCACGTCCGATACACCTTTCACGAACAAAAACGAGAACCACTTCCGTTTCATATCAAACTGAATGCCACCGGTTCAGTCTTCTATCGCCCTTCAGAGCTACTTGGAAAATTGTCATAACACAACTTGCAGACTGTATCTAAGCCAAAAAGTAATTTGTAACGCAATGAAGTCAGGGCTGTAAAAGAGTTCAAACAAACTCTTCTTTAAACCTCACAAAAGCAACTCAACAACAGTCATCATGAATAAGACAGAAAAAACAGAAGAGGCCAAAGTGCAAATCAACAACAGAGCTCACCTCAAACCTCTCAAAGCACCGATAGCGAAAAACACGCAGGAAAGGGTTACTGAGATCATAGACCAAATGCGTTGGGGCAAACACATTGATGGCTTGATTGGTAATGGCTTTCACAAACTCTCAATATCTGCCTTGACACAAAATCAGCCATTGCCGAAAACAATTTTCATATGTCATCCGATTTATCTCTTACCAAAAGGGAAATTCCCCTACGACAAGGAAAAATACAATTTGAGGGCGATAAAGCGACGCGACCATAAAAGCCACATGAGGAGTGCGCGTTGTTCTGTCTTTACCTTTATTCTCGTGGCAAAAATTCATCGTTTGCCGAAGCAAAACTATTTTCAGAAGCTTCAGGTGATTTCTGGGACAATTCATTGTCAGAAAAAGTCGACATTTCACGACTGACAACGAAACAGTTCTCAAAAAATTAATACATATGATTCTCTGTGTAGCGAACAAAGAGTTGTGATAAAGCAAAGCATAAGTTTGTCAAGCCTTTGACGTCATGATGACGTTCTCTGCTGTAGGATTGCGGGCTCGGCTGGAACACGTTTTCAGCAATGGCGGACGATTTTTGGACGACTTTGAAGCGGTAAAAATTGGTCATCGAAGGTTTCTTTTGAGTTTTTAATGGCAAAAAGGGTTTGACTTGACCCAACTCAACATTCTGTAAACAAATTAGCCCAAAAAAAATGGTCAATTTTCGTCTCAGGGGGCACTTTAAATTAAAGTGAGGGAAGATTGAAGCGAAGTTGAGCGCTGCTGATAAAAAAAAAAAAACTTACATTTCATCACTTCCCTAGTGATGTCTTCTCTGACGTTTCGAGCAGTAGCCCTTCATAAGAGCCAATAACAAAGGACTTACGCTCGAAACGTCAGCTTTGGAAACTCTCTACGGTAGCCTATTTACATTATCAACACAGTTGATAAAATCAAGTTAACCGTGTAACCCCCCCTCCCCACCGACTCAGCAGTACGATTTCTTAAGGAGCTTACCCCCTCTAAACCGTTATGATTTTAGAAACAGAGATGACTTAATGAGTTTGTGAATACTCATCTGGAGTTATATGTCACTGTGAGCTCATGATTTACCTATTGGTGGGGGGCATTGGTTCTATTGGAAAACGAAAAAATCATTCAATACTGAAAAACCAAAAAAAAGATACGATCTAAAACATGTCATAATCAAATAATTTGTGTTAAGGCAGTTGAATTTGAGAAACGACTTCTTTTCAACTCTACCCCTTATGGAATTTTTAATTCTAGACGTCTATTTTTGAAGAAGGAAAATCAAATAGAGACTCTTCTTTCAAACCGCCGTAGATTATTTCTCTTGGAACCACCGAAGAATATTTCAGAAAACATCAACATCGGAAATTCCATTTGTACTGAGGAAACAGCGGCTTGTTTCTCACTTGATAAGTCGTAATTTCAATTTCTTAAAACAGTTTTTTAATTCATTATGTAATAAAACTGACACAAATACAGACAGTTTTAGCTTCCATGGCGGTTGAAACCAATTGAAAGATAGCATTTTGGGATACAGAATAAGTCACTTTCGACCCATCATTCGGACATCTTCCGACACTCGAGGGACCTACCTTCTGGATACAAAACTAAGTCACTTATTTTACTCCTAAGCACATACTTCTGCCAAGCATTAAAGCTTTTATATTGGCAATGGCCGACTGATAATTTTGTCATTTTTATTTCGTAGCCAGTCCTATTAGTTTCAGGAATACATTACTTTTCACAATTTTTTTTTTCAATGAAACTAAGTTCATTCTAGCTTTTTTGGCATACTTGAAGAGACATTTGATCGTAAAGTTCGAAGTCGGGTCTTAGTCCGGGGCAAAAGAGAACTGAAAAACTAAGTGTTGCCGTTGACTGACATCTCGCCAACCAGCGGAAGTCATCATTAAATTAGAGTGAAGGAAAGATTGAAGCAAAGTTGAGCGCTGATATAAGGATAACATACATTTCATCACTTCCTTAATGATGTCTTCTCTGACGTTTCGAGCATTAGCCCTACATGAGAGCCAATGACAAAGGACTTACGCTCGAAATGTCAGCTTTAGAAACTCTTTACGGTAGGCTATTTACATTATCAACACAGTTGATAAAATCAAATTAATCGTGTAGCCTCCCCCCCCCCTTCTCTCATCCCCACCGACTCAGCAGTACGATTTCTTAAGGAGCTTATCCCATCTATTTATCATTTGTTGCTATAGAATCAGTCCTGGAGTCGAATTTCAAAAGTGATGTATGGTGAAGCCCGTCAGCTATTGCATGTATCGAGGCCAAGATAGAAATCCTACCCAACCTGCTCTGTATTTATTCTCCTGATGCACAGCGGGTGAATTTTCTACAGTATGTGTTAACTACCATCAATCGATCAACGCCGTCAAGAAAGCAGTGTCGGAGTACTTTTCGCAGAAAGTGAATAGTCTAAATGGGATTTACCTTTGGAAAGCAACAGTTTTATAAAGAGAATGGAAGAGTTAAGAGGTAACTTGGAGGATAACGAAAGCTACACAACCTAATTTTCCACATTAATAAAGGGTGAAAGTTTCTAAAGAAATTGTGGTGCTGCGTCGGTGGGGGTAACAAGGTAATTTGGTTATATCAACTAAGTTGAAATTGCAAATTGGCCACCGTAACGAGCTGACGTTTCGAGCATTAGCCCTCCAACTTAGTTGATATAACCTAATTTTCCACAAATTGGTCAAGAATATTCCTGAGAGAGACCGCTTAAGGTTATAGAACGAAAACTCGTATTTGGCGACTTACATGCACAGAAATGAACAGAAAAGTTTGTTGCGCTTCCTCTTTAGTTTAAGCACGATGCTCATGGTTGCCATATGAAAATATCGATAATCAGAGAAGAGTACACTTAAATTTTCGTATTTGAAACGAGATAAAGACGAAATAATGAAACCAAGATAAGGCAGCCGCGTGCTCCCGCGCAATAAAAGCCTGAATAGCCACCGTAACCGGCCAAGAGAGGTTACCTTATATGCTTTTGCTGCTCTCGAGAAGTCACATATTAGTGTACAAGTCTAAGTCTATTGAAAGACCATATCCACACATTTCTTGATCTACTTCGACAGAGAGTTTTCTCGACGTTTCTTGGTTAAAAACTGATCCCTCTGTTCTTTTTGTTTTACTATGATAGTAAGAGTTATTTTTTTTCTTAACATGAGATTTCTTCTAAAACGCGGAAACATACAAACATTATTATCATTGGAGATAGCCCAAGTTTCAACCAGCGTGCGCACCCAACCGAAATGCGCGCGCTTTGACGAAATAAACGTGGGCTGCCATGACAATGGATATAGATCAGCGAATAAACAAAATGATCTGATTTGGATTCCGTTCCGCAGGGATCGAATTTCTGACCAAAGAGTGAAGTGAATTGGGCTTTCCAAACATTTCTTTTTCTCGAATCCGGAAAGGTCAAGAAAGCTACCGTGTCACTGTTGTGAATCTCAAAGTTTTGAAGAAGGAGCAACGATTGTGATTACTGTGAAAGAAAATTTGAGATTGAGCATACCTATAGCTAATTCTTACACTCATCAAGTAAGTAGAAACTTTTATTTGTGTTTTTTTGTTGTTGGCAGGTTAACTAGTCTAGTCCCGATCATCCTTCGAAAACGCGAAAACATTAGACACTCTTTTAGAACAGCTCCCTTTCCTTAATGAAAAATTCTAAAACCTTAAGAACTTTTTTGATCCAAGAAAAACTGCATTCTTCGGTGCAGCCTCCCGCTTCCAAATGCCGATACTGTTGGTGAACTATCGTTTAAGGGAATCGCATTAGCAAAGAAAAATTTGGCAAGTAGGGAAGGCTTTAAAAATAGTTGACCTGCGGAATTCCAAAGATAGTTCATTTGATTTCAGATCTTTTGTTTCACTTAGACATGTGGTACAACTTATCAAATACCAGCGAGCCTTCAAAGTTCCCGCAAGAAAACTCGACAGATTCATATTTGTGGTATGATGGTGGAAAACTGCCTCAGGGTTTCATTCTACAACAGAATTTCAAGCAAACCCCAAACAGAAATGTACTGGCACCTCAGCTTCAAGTCCAATACTTCAATTGGGGTAATCCAACTCGACCAAGGGATTATCCAATTACGCATGCGTCTTACATGGGCCTAGTCAATGGGCAGATGCCCTATACCCCTTATCCAAGGCAACCACTTCCGAATGCGGTAAGTCAAAGTTATGTACGTTTAAAAACACCTCATTACCTCTACTAACTATACAAAAAGTTTTCTACGTCCCTGGTAATCCTCGAAATCAGTGTATCAGTTTGATCGTTTGATATACAGCTCCAAATCCTTTAAAACCCAAAATCAAAACATAAGTTTTCAAGGTTTACGGAAGGTAGATATTTTGAAACTACTGCTGAATTTGGAGTGTGCCCGTTTCAACGGCTAACACACTTATCACACCTTCTATTATTGCGAAGGGTACAGAGTTGACGAGTCAACTCTCAGCGTCATCGACTCGTCGGTTGAGAAAATATCTCATCATACTAACTAGGCGTTCTCCGTTCTCGATGCAAAAGCAGCCATTTTCGATATGACACCAGCTCATCGTGAGAAGGTACCGTCTCTTATTGCAAGGCAAGGAAAAAGTATCCGATAAGTTTTTTCAAGAGAGGATATCCCTCCAGTGATTTCTGAACAATTTATTGCAGACTTTTGGATTTTTTCTGGACAGTTCAAGTTTTTAGAACACTGTATTTTTGTTCAAAACAGGGTAAGAGTGTGATTATCACCAAATTTAACAATGTACGTCAGGATAATGAGTTCCTGGCCGACGAAATAGAAGAGCAAAAGCAATGGAACAGCTTACTTGTGCAGTGTATTACAGACGTGCAGAAAGAATTAGACACGGTGCAGCAAACCGCTGCTAATCTCTACAATGAATGCCAGTCTCTTGATGAAACATATGAAAGATTTTCCAAGCAGCTCGATGAAGAGAAAAGGAAATTGTCGGAGACTGCGACTAAAAAGAGAAGAAGAATTTCTGAGATTAAAGAAGTTGATGCTGAGTTGGCGGCGACTCTGCGAGAGGAGAAAGACAGATCTGTTTTGGAAATCGCGCGTCTCCGTGATGACGTCATTGATGCTGACATTGACGTCGATAGTCTAACGATAAAGTTCCAGTATGAACTTGGTAAAATGATTACATTTCCTTTCTGGAGGCTGGAAGAGGAAATTGATGAAGTCATTTCTCGCTGGAGCGGAAAGTCCTGTGTTGAGGAAAGCAGCAAAGAGCGAGCTGCTAACACCGTTGGTGGCCATTTCTATCAAGAAAGGGTAAGTGGTCCAATCAAAAGTTATATTATTTCCCGTCTATGAGAACTGCTTGTGCGACCGACAAATATGCTTCTTAATTACAGATTAAAGATAACTCGTTGAAAGAAAATGGGTCGAAAATCATAATCACAAGGTCTCCGTGAAACAGAATTTTCCGCCGGTGTTAACCACGCGTTAATTTATGAATCTTGTTGGTGGTTGAAATTGGCTGAGTTTTGTTTTAAAATGTGAAACTTGAATGATCGTTCTTTTTCTTACATGGACAGTTGGCGTCAGGCTCCAATAAGAGCTCAGGGCGAAACAAGTCGGACGACTGTTTGGAAGGAAGATCGGCAGAAAATTCTGCAGAAGAGTCAGAGATGAGTTCCCGAGAAAGCTCACCAAGTGATGAAATATCAGTTACATCACAACTAACAGCCATTAAAGTCAAGAATTCGGCAGAACATAGTCTCTCTGTCGTTAAAAGTTTATCAATCAGTGAGTCTGTCTCGAGCCAGTCCAATCCTCCATCTGCGAAGGATGGTTGCGTGGAAACTGACTTTGAATTTGTCGAAGATTTGTCATTTGCTCACAATGATAAAGCTCCAACTAAACTGGGAAAGAAGGTACGTGTTTGCACACACTTACACACTGCCTTCATTTAGGGTTCATATCTCTGGGCCTGTATGTTTCTGTTTTTTTTTTTAGATAAGTTTTTATCATTTTGACATAAGCCTAGTAATGCAGCTAAAAAATGGTTCTCAGTTTTAAAAGTTCAGTTTTGTGATCCCCGCGTAGGCTTTAACTGAAGTTGGTGGACCTCACCTTTACATCATCAAAGGCTTTGGGCGAAAATGTCCATACGAATTTTTGTTGTCGAAATTTCTTCCAATCCCTAAGTCGCTTAGCTGTGTCAACCCGCGGATTGATATATCTGTCGGACAGCCTAGATACTAACATTCATAGAGACCCAAGTGTGATGGTTCCAGTACTCATTTTTTTCCTTCAGATGTACCTGAACATGTCCTCTTTTCCTTTCCTTAGACAGATTCGCAAATCCAGTCGGTTTTCTCGATGGTTACGGAGCCCCTGTTGCATACCAAGGAGAAACAAGGACCAGTGAACTTGTTCAAAATTAATAAGAAAATACATCTGGATATTTCAACTCATTTTGTGACCGTTTAAAAAATGAATGAAATCATTAATATGTAGGATTTTATGCAGAGTGGAAATAAAGAAATTTATTACACGACTCGGGCAGTCAGAAGGCCAATAACTAAAATCAACCAATCCAAAATGCTCTATTGCCGGTCAATATTCTCTAAGTATTGGACCGGGCACTGTCCCGAATGGTCCCGAATGACACCGCACTTGTGTCCCTTTGAACTTCAGTCGTATAATAAATCTCTTATTAACCAAGCTTGCTTGGGACCGTACTGGAAGAATATCGGCCCTCGGTCTTTTTTGTACGGACCTCGCTGCGCTCGGTCCGTACTGTCAAGACCTCGGGCCGATATTCTCCCAGTACGGCCCTCGCGCTTGGTTAATAAGATATAT